TAGAGCTATCAATATCCGTGGTATTTCTTGGAGCCGTATCATCTTCCTTCAAAGCAATCTGTATGCTCTTTATCAGTAAATTGTTGAGAAAATTGCCTATAATATTGTTTGTTTTGAAGGATCGGTTAGCGGCTGGTACATTTACAATCAGTTGATTTGTGCCAGATAGTTCATGTAAAGATGAAGTGAATGCGCTAAGAAAGGCTACAAAAGGTGTGATTCCAAAGTATTCACAAATTTTTTCAATCTTTTTCACTTCAAAAATAAATTCTGTTTCTGAATAGTTTTCAAAATTTGTGCATTTCAAATATTGATTTTTGAAATACACAAATTTTGCTTTTCTAATAATCCCAGAATCTAAATTCTGATTCATGTGATTTTTGTTTATTTCCCAGTTTTCCAAAATGTTATTGTAATTTGGATCATTACTGATCCATTTTACAATTTTATCAGCATATTTATCTGCTAATTCTTCTAAAAAATGCTTTCGTTCAAACTGTTCGATAGAATGTTCGGCATATGTAAATGGCAATTTTGAATTACTATCAAATTGCTTGTTTCTCATGATTTCTCCATAAAGATCTCTTAGATCATTCTCCAGAAGATTCGTTGACCACGCATCACTAATGATATGATTAATTCGCAGAATAACAGTATATGATGCATTGCTGGTTGCTTCAATTGCACATAACATTGGTGGTTCACATTTGAGATCCGTTTCCTCATCTCGAAGTATTTTTATCATTTCCGCAGTGATATCATTGTGCATTACTGATGCTATCCTCGAAGAGCTTATCTGTAGAGCATTGCTGTAGAAATAAGTTTCTGTTCCAGAAAGTATTTCCTGGTGCACATCATAGTTTTGTTCTGGAAAAATTGTTCGAAACGAAGGTTGTCGTAAAATTAGGCGCAGGAAGGATAATTTCAAATGTCGAAGACTCAGTGGCGCATCAAATTTTTGTACAAATATAAGTTCATAGTATTGCCGTTGTTTCGTTTCATTTAAAAATCGAAATTGTTGTTGCTGAAAGCTTAGTGGGATGTTATGAAGATTGAAAACTCTATTGTTTATCCCGTAAAAGTCTTGAATTTCATAAATGCTTTGACTGCTTGGCTCTTTATGAGAATGCAAAATGTGCTGTGACAGTCTCCTTACTGTTCGATAACGAAAAACATTATTTACATCAATACAATTTACGATATTAGCTTCTATTAATTCGGTCAACCGCGCTGCCGAAAATGAATTTCCGCCAACTGCAAAAAAGTCATCGTTTACTGTGATGTTATCATCCTGAAGAACTTCCCGGAAGTATCCAAGCAACTTCCATTCAATACTGTTTTCTGGTTCTGTGTGCTTGAAATACTGGTCCTTTTCAGGATCCTTTAACATTTCGAGAGCTGCCATGTCAATTTTCGAATTCTTAGTAAGTGGATATTGTTGAAGAGAATGATACTCAGTTGGCACCATATAATACGGTAAGTGCTCTAGCATGAATTGCCGTACATTATCGGGATGGAACCGGATCTTTGCTAAATCTGAAAAAATAACAAAAGCTACAAGTTGCTGCCGTTCACCAATTAATTTTGAGATTACTTTAGCAGATTTAACTTGCGGATATTGACAAAGAATGGCTTCAATTTCACCGAGATCAACACGATATCCACGAATCTTTACTTGCTTGTCGTATCGTCCTAGAAAAAGAATGTCGTTATTTGGTTGTAATCGAACCATATCTTTGGTGCGAAAACTGCGACAAGCACCGATCACTTCATTTCTATTTTCTTTCTCGGTATCTTCTGGTGTCGCATGTCCTTCTGAGACAATATAACCTCGCATAATTCCTATTCCCGTAATGCACAATTCGCCTACTCCCGTTTCTGCTACAACCTCTCCACAGGAATTTCTTACCGTAGTAATAACATTTACTATTCCACGACCGATATTATTCGGTTTATCCAGTAATTTCATCCGTTTGGTTAAAGCATAAGCTGTCGTTTCAGTTGGTCCATAATTCTGAATGACATTCACATCTGATTTTAATGCGCATTCTAAAACTCTTCTGCTTGCACTCTCCGCTCCAACAATCCAATATCTCAGATGTTTCATTTCACCAATCTCTTCATCCGTAAAGGTATTCACTAAACCGGGAAACAACAGCGCATGAGTAATTCTTCCACGCCTTACGTCATCCAGAAATTTACGTGCCATGAAAAAATCTTCTCGGAGAAGTAAAGCGCCACTATTGATCAACGCCATCATAATTTCCAGAACACTGTTATCGAATGCAAAGTTCGTAAACTGGTAAACACAATCTCCAGGTTTCATCCAGAAATCTCGAGTGCACGCTATAGCCATATTGAGAAGACCATGTTGACCAATTGCTACTCCTTTAGGCTTTCCAGTAGTTCCCGATGTAAATATTACATAAGCTAAGTCATTCGGTGTATTTCTTAGATGTGTTGGATTGTCTAACAGTTCTTCTTCAAATTTTATATCATTTAAGTTGATTTCTGTGATATCTTGAAGTGAAAAACTGAGTGAATCTTGAAATTTTTCATCAACAGCAACATAGAACTTGGCTCTTATTTGCTCCAGAATATTTAAGACTCGCTTGACTGGACTTGTGGAATCTATAGGAAGATAAACAGCTCCAGCCATAATAAT